AAACCGGTCCAAGCTGCAGGAACTCAAGGAGATCGACTACGTCGGCATCTTCCTCTTTACGGCTGGCATGCTCCTGTTCATCATGGGTCTGTCCTGGGGAGGCGTCCAGTACCCGTGGAAGTCGGCACACGTGCTCAGCACCCTTGTGATCGGAGCTGTCCTGGTCATTGCCTTTGTACTCTATGGTTCGCCCGCCTTTGACCCTCTTTCTGATTTCCGTACACGGGTGGAGGCAGCCCCTTGCTAACCAGAAACATAGAGATTTACATGCCCTTGCGTCGACCGATTGTTCCAATGCACCTGTTTAGGAACAAGGACTACTCGGCCCTCATCGTAGTGACGACTGTGGGAGGCATGATGTACTTTTCAATCAGCGGTAAGTCGAAGTGCTCTGACGGCTACTGATGCCTCGCCCGATCTTCGCATCTGCTAACTCGCGTATCAAAAGCCATTTATCCTCAAATGGTGGCTGTCCTGTTTACGAACGACATTGTCTACGGCGGTATTCTCTCGTGCACCGTCACTGCGGGCACAATTGCTGGGCAATTGATCGGCACCGCGACGGCCGTGGTAGGTGGGCGCATGAAGTGGAAGCTCGTGGCTTCTTGTGTCGCCATGACTGCCTTTAATGGCGGCGTTGCCGGCGCTGGCGAGGACAAGGCCATAGCGACCGCCTTGTCCTGTCTCGGGGCTTGTATGGTCGGTATTCTCGAAGGTTATGCATGTGGCCTGGTGACCATTGTGATCGACGACCAAAAGGAGTTGGGCGCTGCCGGAGGCATTTTCGGCAGCGTCAGGACAATTGGTGCTGTCGTGTCAAGTAAGTCTTCCATCAACACTTTGTGTGACTCAGTTCTATACACTCGGCTTCTCCGCAGACATGGTAGTTGATACTAATACGCCGAGCCTACAGCTGCCATCTTTACATCCATTCTCAACAACAAGCTGTCAGGACATATCTCCGGGGACGTCGTCCCTACCATTGTCCAAGCAGGCCTCCCCGTGTCTTCGGTGGAATCCTTCGTCGGTGCCCTCACGGCGGGCAACGCGGACGCGATGAGCAAGATCCCAGGCGTGACGCCGTCGATCATTGCCACGGCAGCAACGGCACTCAAGGACGCGTACTCCAAGTCCTTCGCCATGGTGTTCCTGGCCAGCATCGCATTTGGCGGCTGCGCCATCATCGCGGCCCTTTTCGTCCCCAACGTCGACGACAAGATGACGCACGAAGTCGTGCGCCGGCTGGAAGCGAGTGGCTTGGGCAAATTCGGCGGCAAAAAGGAGAAGAATGCGACTTCTGTCACCGAGACCAAGGCGTGACGGGGGCTGCTGAGGGTGGTGGTGTGTCCAATGAGGACGACGTTGCCAGATTTTCCAGACGTTGCAGACATGTTGGAGAGATTCTGAATTGCAGCGTCGTGCAAGTATTCAAGGAAGTCGTCGGAAAATCATCTTGGGCGGAAGTCTGATCCTAGTAACAATGTGACCTAAAACTCTCCTGGGCTCAGTTGGCTTTTGGGTGGAGAGCAAGCCTTGATGATTGCTTCTGTCTCTCGTATCGATCCATCTCCGAGTCTCTCCAATTCCGAGCCCACCAATTCAAGTAGATAGTCACTGCCGCAGCCTAATAGCGAACAGTGATGCTGGCACTAGGACTTATTATGGGGGATGGGAAGACAAGGCTGAATCGTCCCGTTCAGGAAGGATGTGGACCCGCCCCCCTCCCTTGGCTGATGTAGAGTATCTAATTAAAGCCTTGAGAGGATTCAATCCCACTCCGTAACATTGTCACATTTTGGCGGGATGATATCCTCATTCCCATCCCAACTGCAGCAGAATGCCACGTGGAGATCGTCGATCGTGCAAACGACTTGGTGAAGTTATGTGGTCTACTCCGTCCATGTTGCAGGTAGGCTGCGAAAACTTCTGTGTGCAGCACCCCCAGAACAGGATTTCCCCCGCTGGTCCAGGATTCAGGCGACATTCCTTCATCAGCTTATGTCATTTATTTTATCCTTGCAAGAGCTCTCTTTCATGATCGAATTTCTTGATTTCCCGTGTCTCGAGACCATGGATTTCTATCGGGGGCCTAGTACCCAAGGCGTCCAATCCACACAAAGTCATGTTTCCACGGCAACCGGACAGGGTCACCACTCATGACACACACCATGATTGGGTGTTGGCACGTCCTTCAGCATGGCGGATGAGAGAGATGTCATCATGGCTGCCAGCTACCTTCTTTTTTCAGAGCTGAGATGCCAGTACCTCGTACCGTAGGGTTTGTGGCGGGGCTTAAAAGTAGAGTCTCTGTCTGTCTGTCTCCAGTCTTGATCCTTGTAGCCCGCGTGCCCGCCCAAGGTTTATTTCGTATCGACCCAACAACCACAGCGAGGCTTAAATGGAGCGTGGGATGCTTCCTCGCACTTCAACACCGCGGCCATGTTTCCAACTGGAGCTGTCTCTGTCCTCCTCTGAAAAGACGAAGTTTCGGTTGGCAGGGCTGTAACCTGAAGCACTGAAGACCCAGGCACCCAGGTCATGTCAAGTGATTGATCCTCTCAAGCCTACTGGTACAACTGAAAAGACGGCGGGGAGTAACGACCTTGAGCATTGCGCACGCGCACACACACACACACAGTCTCTCTCTAAAACACACATGCGCACCACGGCGCTCTTCGCGGGTCTGCTTCCACAGCTCCAACGGCGAGACACGTAGTAAGTACCTACCCTTCTAACAGATCATCGCGGTTCGCGAGACACTGTCTATCTACCACCTACCCTCTACCGTGACAGCACTCGACTAACAGAGCCCAACTACCAGTGACGATGGAGCGTACACCGAAGTCGTACAAGCCACGAGCTGGAGCTCCTCCGCGTCCTACTACACCACGTACGGCTCGACCGCGATTGTCACCGTCACGACCTACATCCCCTGCCCGGTCATCATCAGCTACACCACGGTGCGCTACTGCTCGAGCTGCAGCACGTGCGACGGGGGCTGTGGTTCTCCCACATCGGTGCTGCAGACCACCGTCTGCGTGCCGAAACTGTGTTCCACGGTCGTCAACGACGTCGGCCAGGCGACCACCACGCCCTTCGTGGCGGGGGAGTACGCTATTGCCTACGTGACGAGCAACGGCGGCGGCGGCGGCGGGCAACCCGCTGTGACGACGAGCATTCCCGCGTCCTCGTGCACGGCCTACGAGCAAATCGCTCTCACCGGAATCGATTGTCAAACGCTCCCTGCGTGCGGCGGCAGCGGCGGAGGCGGCGGCGGAGGAAGTAGCGGACTCACGTGCGAAGCGAAGCCGTGCACCACGTACATCGATGTGGATGGGGACGGGAACTACGACCACGACGAAACACTCACCGAGGGCACGCAGTACTTCTTCACCGAGTTCGCGCGGCTCACCGTAAACGGCCAGGTCACATCCACGCCGGCCAGTCTATGCGGGGCGCTCACCGTCCCGACACCATGGGCCGCCGACGTCCAGGCCACAGTCACCTGCGGTTCTGACAATGACAACAACAATGACGCCAACGGCGACGGCGTCCAAGTTATCACGTACACGTACACGACTAACGGCGCCACCGTCGTCGTCGCCACCACCCTCCCCTCGCACGGCGGGCCTTTCCATCTCACCGCCGCGGGCGATGGCAGCAGTAGCAGTGGCTGTGGGCCCCGCGCCGGGGGAGATCTCGGGAGAACGACCCTCTTCTGGACCTGTGTCGGCACGGCGCTCGCGGCGGGCGTGGGCGTGGGCATGATTGTTCTGTGAGAAGTTGAGGTTGTGAGATGGCAAAGGGCACGAAAAGAAAAGAAAAAGAAGAGAACATCGACAGCATAGATGTATACGACATTCGACACTCGACACTCGACATTCGACATTCGACATTCGACATTCATTCGATAACAATCTACAGGACCTACCTATGTACCATGAACACGTACATGTACACGTATCGGTATAGGTAGGTATGTATCTTTACGAGGATGACTACCTAGGTACCTACCTGCACAGTCGGGGAGGGGGGATAACAGGCAAGCGATCAAAGAATCCCATTCTTTCTGATGCCTTTTCTCCTAATTTTCGGGTGTATGGGAGAACACGCGGAGATTCACCATGTGCGGGCACTCCATGGGCATGTTACCTAGGGTATACATGTCATACACATCATACATACATGATGGTACACGACGGGATATGACTGACGCCGCGATCACTGGATCAGATCACGTCAAACAGGCCCTCTATGTGTATGTACATATACACGGATACACGGAAATTGGTCAGAGGGCGGTCTGGCCGTCTCGAGTACCATACATTATATCATTTCCCTAAGAGGGCCCCTGTGCGAAAGGAGCATGTCCGCATAGTCTCTATGATCAGGTATAGAGAAAAGTAATGGGGTGGAAAAGAATGGGAAAGGTTTGCGTCATGGGCGCTCATGCATATCATGTTTACCATCCCGTCCAAAGGGAAACGACACGGAGAGAGAGGTGCTCGTGTTGATGTTTGTCGATGTTGATTTATCCTAGCAGTACGTAAAGGGTGTCGCAAAAAAAGATTCCCAAGTCGAGTATCAAAGTATGGAGAATGGCATGTCATCAGTGAGGCTGCCGCCCCCTTTCCATCTCTGAAAAAGCCATTGTGGCCACCATCAGTCCATCCAATTGTTCAATCCGCTTCGTTGGGAATTCCAACAATCCCTGACCCATGGATCAATGCAATCCTCGTCAAAAAGTCATTCCAAACCCTCAGAGGTCTTTGACCAAGTCCCAGTCCAGTCTACAGGCACTCTAGAAAGATATGTAGCTGTCCAAAAGTCTAGGTCTGAACTGTTCCTCGGAAAAAGGGTGCGGTTCGTCTTCTCAAGGCTGGCGTCTGAAGGCTGACGCAAGTTGCTCTTTGCCGGTCCTGTGGTGACTGCTTGAAGTATGCTGGTCCTAACATGCTGGAAGGGGAGACTAGTGAGCCTGGGTTATTGCGTCCAGCTCATTACAGTGCTTCCTGCAGTTCTCTGATCTTGTAGTATATTTCCTTCAAGACCTCTTCTTTACCAACCTGTTCCAGCCCATCAGCAAAGCAGATACAACTAGATTGTCGAAAACAAGAGGCAGATATCGATAGCGGTACCAACGAAACAGCGCTGGTGATGCTTACCTTTATCTGGAAACCCGTCGGCTTTCCTCCCTCCAAACCAGTGAGGTGCATGGTCTTTCCACTCGGTTCTTTGCCGTCGTGTGTGCCCACATTCATCTCTTTGAACACCGGCGTGTTGAGCAGTAGACGATGTGTACCCATCGCGCGCATGATGAGTCGACCCCTGCGTTCCAGAGTCACAGACGACTCGCGTTCGCCGCCTTCAAGAGCAGCTTCGATATCTTCTTCGTTTGTTTCCGCAGAATCGTCTTCTTTGGGTGCCTTCTCTCCTCCGTTTTTGCCATCGGTGGCAGGTGTTTGCACGGTTGATCTCGCTTCATATCGCATGTTGATCTTGAAGTCCCCTATTCCGCTCTCTTTCCACTCCCTTTCAAAGTGATATAGCTTCGCTCGACAGCTGAAGACCGTCTCCTCGTCTTCTTCTCCTGTATTGACTACCGAGTATCAGTTAGCAAAAGCCCCTCATTGTAGTACCAATACAAACTCACGCTCTTGCTCGCGGAACCTAGGGTCTTGCTCGGCTTCTTCGCCTGCCGCTTGTGTTTCGTCGTTTTCGCCTCCGTCTTCGCTATCTTCCTCGTCTTCATTCGTCTTCGCCCCAAAGGGCTTCGGCTTGCCAAACGTGCCTGACGCTCCCGCCGAAGCACCAAACGGGGAGAGGCCCGCACCAAGTGGCTTTGCAGCACTTCCAAACCCGCTCCCTCCTCCGAATCCAGCCGCAGACCCGAAGCCCCCTCCAGACCCAAAGCCGGACGTGGGTTTACTCGCAAACGGTGACGCACCTCCGAATCCGCCAGAGGACGATGCGAACCCGCTCGTTCCTCCACCCCCACCAAATCCGCCACCAGCTTTGGCCGTCGCACCTACCGCTCCGAAGGGTGACTTTTCGGACGCAGCAAACGCTGACAATCCAGAAGAAGCAAAGGCCGAACTTGACGTCCCGCTCCCGGGAGACAAAATTGAGGCCGACGCTTTCTCCGGGGATTTGGGGGACTTGGGGGATTTGAAGCTACTGAACGGCGAGGTGGTTGATGTGTTGGCGAAGCCTGATGATGCCGTGACCTGTGGCTTGGCTTCTTCTTTGGTTGATGGCAGGGCTTTGACTTGGGTCTCTGCTGCCGCTGATTGCTTCTCCGAGCTAGCAGCAACACTAGATGATTTATCCTCTGCAGTTGATCCACAGGCATCCTGCGCGACAGCAGCTGTTTCCATCTCCTCCTTCGAGGGCGCCAACACTAGAATCCCAGGCCCGCCTGGAGACTGTTGTGCCTCTGCATCACTCTCTTCCTGGACCGGGCTCGCCATGTCCTCGTACTTCTCAAAAGTCTGTATCTCCTCGTCGTTCCCCGAAATCTCTCGGGATCTCATCCTCTTGTGTTGGCTTCCCTTCTTTGGGAGAGGGGCTCCTCCATTTTCGACACCGGGACCAGACTCTTCGGTTTGCAGGTCTTCGAACGACCGTTTCTTCGAAGGACGGCCTCGAACTTGTCCGTTTTCGCTTTGTGACTCGGGCAATGATTCGACCGTCCCAGTATCGTCCACAGGGTGATCTCCAGCGACTCCAGGCTTTACCTTGGAATACTGCGAGAGTCCTGCAATGGATGTTTTCTTCAGTTTCTCCCGCGCGGTGCGTTCGCCCCCCTCGCCGTCTGAACTTCCTTCTTGAGGCGGTAGATCTCGTATGACTGTGTCTTCTGTTGATTCCTGCGGCGGTGGTAGGTGTTCTGTTTGGTTGCTTGTAGCCATCGTGGGTGATTGGAATTGTAGTGACCGGGTCTTGTTGACGGAGATGTTCTGCAGCCGGTGTAGCACTGCGGCAGTCTTCGAGGCAGCGGGGACTCGCAGGTTAGATCCTCCTTTGTGTAGACACCGTTATCCGACCGGTTGATGTAGATGTTGAGATTGGCACTGATGGATTGTATGATTGGGTTCTCAACCTCCACACCGTTCAGGGCAACTTCCCCCTCACGGACCCAGCCCAAGTCTTCTTAGATGACACGAGTACTTGACTCGAGTGCGAAAGGGAGTCCAGAAGGACTGCTTGCGCCTCGAGTGCTTGGAGGCTCGAAAGGCGGTGCGAAAGCAGCGGTCGTCTTCCGTGCTTGGTGGTCGGAATCACTGGTTAACAAAGACGTTTGCGGGAGGGTTTTCCAGTAGGAACTCGGGACAGCTTTCGTGCAGTAGAACGTGTACAGTGTCCCTTAGGAGTAAACCGGACGTGGGCACTGCAGACCAGAGATGGATACACAGTCAGAGGGATGTGTGGTCGGCACAAAGATACAGGTACGATATGATTGAAGCGGCTCAAGACGCATGATGCGCAGGCACCTGCTCCGCACAAACAACAACTCATAAACTTCTCATATTCCGCCCCACTCACAGCAAATGTCGTCAGGGCCTCAAACCAAAACACTTGAGACGTTGCCATGCTATTGAAATCCATTCTTCTACATTAAATTTTTAGAGTACTGACTGGCAGTGCGAGAGGCACAACAGCCACCCATCCCTGGAATCTAACTAATAAAACATAGGCAGCCGAGACTGACATAGAAGACAAAGAGAGGATAGACGCTCAGGGCCACCCTATTCTTTACAACCCCTGATCCTCCGAGGATACTAACTCCGGCTGCTAGTGACCATGCAACAAGAACAATGTATACAGGAATGCGCGCAATAGTTGGTAGGCCGAGCGCGCTTAGTAGGGCGGCAATGGTGAGTGGGAACAGAGTATACCCAATAATGGAGACGGATTGCATGAACGAGCTGGAAAAAGGGTCAGTACTGGTGGAATTGAAACAAGGGATTGGAAGGCCTCACATATTTCCTCCCAGCAGTTTGATCTGGAGGGTTACCACAGCTTCACCAATCCAGACCAGGGAAAAGACGCCAGAAAAGACCAGGTCGGTCTGGCCTTTGCTGGCGCGCATGGAAAGGAAGACGCTCAGCAGCAGGCAGAATATTAGAGGGCCCCTTGGTACAACTGTTAGCATGCGTGCAGTTGGCAGTAGATCTTATCTCACCATAGATCCCAGTCTCTTAACCCGTCGCTCATCCCTCCCTGCAGAATGCCATCTGCGTCAGGCCAGCGACCTAGAATGCCTCTAAGATCTCTTCCAAATCCTCCTCCCTGGCTCTCAACATCGCCCATGCCGGTGCCCTGTCTCTGAAGCATGCCTCCAAGCAAATACTTGGGGTAGAGGACTTGTTTCATTTTCTCCCATACGGCGAATAGGTCTCGAGATACCGTGTCCCAGACACTCTCATCGATGGTGTTTTGTGTAGCATGCCTGTCTTCACCGGGTATTCTCGAAGTCAGATAGCTTTGGTTCAGGGGTGCGCTGGAAGAGGAGGATTGAATGTTGCCTGTCAAAGGGGCGCGATCGGAGGGTTCGTCGGGTTCGACTTCTGCAGAAAGTGAGCCTCACTCGTGTCTTTGTTGATTGAGCCAGGGTCCTGTACCATCATTGAGGAAATCGTCTTCAAGTACTTCATGGTCGTCGTCATAGGAGTTTCTCGATAGTCCACTGGCCATGGTTGCTAGCGTGTCAACATTCGCGACTGAAAAAGGATGCCTGGCAGCAGTCGCTGAGATAAACAACAGTGAGAATGTCGCGCAATCACAATATCATGTGGAGCGTGTCGGATTGAGGTTGGTCGATATAATGGAGCAATTTGTACGCGGTTGTCGCAGTCTCTATGGGGAAGGTCTTGGATTAATTATGGCAGCCTCTGAACCAACTGGTGACACAGAGATCAGGCGTTGGGTGGGCGTAGGTCACCTCAGTGGATAAGTCAGATATTACGTAACCCATATTCCTCGTCATCGTCCCTTACACCTGCGATACTTTACAACCGTCGCAGTTTCACACACCTTCCGCAATTCCAGCTTGAGTGAAAGGGGGGTGCGTCAGTCTCTGGATCAAGAGATACTACCTGGCTTTCACTCAGGGTCTTCAAATTTACCTTCATCACCTTCAAATGTCCTGTTATCCGCCAGTCTGATGAATTGCAGCCCTTTCTCCAACCTCTCAATGAGCATCGTATCAAATGCCTTCTCCTTAAAGCTAACCCTCTCGGTCCACCAGTCCAGCAAAGACGTTACCCTCGCGCCCTCGGGGGCTCGCAAGAGCCCTACACTCACATCGACCAGATCCGGCCTTTCGAGGCAGTTCCAGAAGACCGTAGCACCACAACGGGAGCAAAAGTCACGAAAACAGCCCTTAGAACTTTCAATCCGTTTCAGAGTGTCCATAGAGAGGTCCGGCGGGCTTCCATCAAGCTGAAAAATGTTGGCTCTTGGGATAAAAGCCCAGGCTTGAATTGGCGACCCGGAGGCTAATCTGCAAGACCTGCATGCACAAGTGCCTGCCAAGTATTTGGAATCGTTTGCACGTAACCACCACTTGACGTCTTCCCGATTTCGCGAGATAGGAGAATGATCCGGGACAAGCAAGTCTGGCCACGGTGAAGAGCATGTCCTTGAGAGGATATTGGGCCGGGTGATGCGGAAGTTAACCCCTCCACAATGACAACGTGCGTAAACATCGCCTAAATCTTCAGACATCATGGCAACCTCGTCCACTTCACCTTTTCTGATAGGAGAGCTATTGTGGTCGCTTCGTGTTGAAACATCTCGGGTCAATTCCGTAGCAAGAGCTCCGTCCGGTCTCTGCAAATAAAGAGGTACTGAACAACCGTCTGCTTCGGCTAAGCAGATAGCCAGTCCCCCATCTTTCGTATCACCAACAAACTCATGTTGGACAATTCTTTCCAGAGTCACAGCTGACGTAGCTGATAGGCCTTCCGCACCATCGACAACACCTGAGCAAACGGTCCAAGTGTCATCTTTGTGGATGTTGACAAACATGGGGGAGCCGCACATGGGACAAAAATACCTTGTCAGCTTTGGGGAGGAATCGTATTTGGTAAGTCCATCCGCAGTATTTGGTCTCGAGGTGAGGGGGAGACACGAGAAGTACAATCCACCAGTGCTGTAACGGCAGCTGTTGCATGAGCAAGGAGATACGGGAACAGGTAGTTGGGAAGCTATCTGTAGTGTCTCTGAATGTTTCCCACACAAGCATGTAACATTGACAGTGGTGGTCATGGCTGCGGGTTGAGCGAATTGCCCCCAAGCGGAGATGTCAAGCTTCTTATGTGACTCAGCTTCTGTAGCAGCGGTGTCATTGCCGAAGTAGACAGCATCGATGACCAGGGCGCGACGCAGGACTGCCTCAGGCACGAAAACATAGATAGAGAGGTTTCGACTGTCTCATTTGCTTTGGTGTGACGATATAAGAAGCAGTGAGATGGGGGCCGAGGGGCGAGGGGCAAGGGTGCCGCTGGAAGATCGGATCGTGTAAAGGTGACCTCTAGCGATGGGGCGACGATGTCGGCGTAAGAGGTTTCGGCAGAGGGAAACGGAGGATTTGAGCACATTATTAGCATGGTGTTCTGTGGCATATAAGGACTTATGCAGCTATCGGGGACTTGGTAAGCAGACAAGTAGACCAGGAGGATCGATCGATCGATCACAAGGGAGTCTTCCCTGCATTGCTTTGTCGTTCTCTGGAAAGAATAATATTTTAAGAAGCCCAAAGCAGTTTAGGATGTTTGGCACGGCGCACCCATCGCCGCGCAGGATCCAACCGAAGCGCATCCGAGTCCGAACATAAAAGCGTATCTCCATCTCGCTCCCTCTCTCTGGGTTCCTTTCCTTTTCCTCTTCCTCCTTCCTATAATCAGCAACAAGAAATCCCCCAAGTCTTTTGTTCGCAGCCCGCACACGCCAGCTGTTCAGTCTTTGAACAAGCAACACCGCAATCTACTAAGCAAAGCACTCGCTTCCTAACAACAAAATGGGTATGCGCCTTTCAATGGAGGAGGATTCGGTTCGTTGGTGCTGCATATGGCTGACTCTCTGCATCTAGAGCCCTGCTGCGGCTGCGGCTCTGCCTGTGAGTAGCATTACCCCACCTCGATTCAAGGAGGATCCTTCGCTAACATGGATACAAGGCCGATGCCCTGCTGGCCAATGTCAATGCACGTGCGTTATGATCGATCCGTCGCTCTGGTCGGCAAGAAGTGGCAACTGACGAGCCCGTTCACAGAAAATAAATAACCCAGCGCATAACACTCCTTCTATCACTTCATTCTGCCCGAACACAGAATACCTTTCATGACAAGGGAAATACAGCTGCACAGTGTGCTCTGACAAGAGATGGTTTAACCAGGCACGGCAATAGGGATGGCCATTGTCGAGACAGAGCAGACAAGCAAACGTAGCTTTTTATGAGAACAATGATATGAAGAAGCCGTCAAAGCCATTTCTAATGAACCCAATAGCTGGAACCCTAACACCACAATCGTGAGTTTACCAGCACAAGTAGAGAGTACCAAGTATAGGTTGCTGGCTTCGTGTCCCGGCTGCTGGTGCGTGCCGATGCGACCCGATGAATGGACTGGCAGCACGTGGCGGGGTAAGCGTTAATTCTGTCTTCTCTTATCGGCCCCTATCGTTATCTTATCGAACTGTCTCTCCAGGGTCTGGCGGGGAAGCACCTCAGGGCTGTAGTCAGCGCAGGAATTCCGAGAACAAAGTATTTCTTTACAGCAGCTCAACATTTCTTCTGCAAAAATGAGCAAACGCTGTCTGCCAGCGATCTCGTCGACTGCCCATGTCCAGCCGGAATTCTCATCCGCTTTGGTGCTGGGAATCCTCGAATACACCCTATTTCCTGACTAAGTTGAGTCATACTGACGCAATGGTGCTTTAGGTGTCGCTGCACCGTCCTCTCCTTGAGGTATGAGGTAACTGCCATGTTGGATACCGACGACGACATCACGGTCCATCTATCTAGCTCGCTTGACTGAGGAGCCTAGTGTCGACGGGAACCGGACTCGCCTGCCCTTCGCCTCGGGGAGAGATTCGCCCTCTTTACTACTGCTTCGAGTTCTCTCAGGCTATGGAATTTCGTTGCTCGCCATGCCAGTGCCAGTCCCTCTCTCTTCCCGTGTCAAAGGCGCCATATTTGGCCTTGCGGTGTGCGACGCACTCGGGGGCCCCGTCGAGTTCAAACCCCGCGGTTCCTTCGACCGGGTGACGCAGATGCTGCCCAACGACAACTTCCGTCTCCCGCCGGGTTGTTTCACGGATGACACTTCGATGACTCTGTGCCTGGCTCACTCGCTTCTAGAGTGTGGCGGCCAGTCAAATATCGTGCACCAGGCCGAAAAGTACATCTCGTGGTGGCGGGACGGATACATGTCGTCAGTCGGTCGGTGCTTCGACATTGGGGTCTCGACGAGAAGTGCGCTCGAGATATGGGACAATTTCCTCCATCTCATGCCTCGGGACTCGTCACCACCGGTGGAAGAGACGGAGCGTGCGATACTAAAGAAGATTTCCTTTTCGTTCGGCAAGGACGAATATTGCGGCAATGGGAGTCTGATGAGAGTGCTCCCAGCGGCCTTGATCGCCCCCAGCGAGCCGGATGCCGTCCATCTGGCGCACGAGAGCTCGCTGCCCACACATCCTCATCCGCGGTGCGTCCACGCGTGCATGATCTACACTGCGTTGGTCCTACAGGCGCTCAACGGTGCGTCCAAGACCGAGCTTGCTGTCAGCTTGGCCGAGTCCGTGCGAGAGATCCCCAGCAATATCTCCGACACTCCCGTCGAACTCGTGCTCGCGGAGAGGCTAGGCAAGTACCAGACACTAAGAGATTGGGAGGAGACGCCGGCGGAGTCAATCCGGAGCACGGGCTACGTTGTTGACACGCTTGAGGCGTCGCTCTGGGCCTTCTTCAACGCCGACACTTTCGAAGAGGCCGCAACCCTGTCTGTCAATTTGGGTTACGACGCGGACACTGTGGGCGCGATATGCGGTGGACTCGCTGGGACATATCACGGGTTCGAAGCCATTCCCGACCGCTGGCTGCGCGAGATGAAGAAGACAGACGTCCTCGACGAAGTAGCGCAGAAGATAGTCGAGCACAAGAGCAGAACAGTGTAAGCTTGTTAGACATTTCTACAGCGTACGGGAGAAGCATACTTTTCTTCTCCTCATCCTCCTCCTGCCATCGACCATGCATGCCCAACCAGTTCCTCAAAAGGGAACCCCCGACACGAGCACACAAAATGGGATGTGCATAACCTCTTTCAAGTTTTTTTTTGTCCGGTGGGGTTCATTGAAGCCAACTTTGGGTCATTGGGGGGCGATGGAACGAATCATCGACCATTACGGTAGGTGAGGGGATGGCAGACCGTATACATTAGGTTGGTATTTGTACATATGCACAAAGTATCTTGGTTACTCGGTTAAGTAGGATTTGCCACCGCCAACAGCAAAGACAGAAGGATAGGCAGACACAGACATAGACACTAGGAAAGATCATCTGACCTGACGTGACTGGTTTGAAGAAGAACAAACGGAGAAATCAGTGACGCCATTCCAGCGCAGGCAGCGAAGAAGCTAAAAAGGATATATCCAGAATACCTACCTCCTCAGCGAGGTCTTTATTTTCAACATCCCTACTTTAAGCATACGGTCATCCATCGCCCTTGACCTTTCAATACTCATTATCCCAAAGAGGAAGACGATACCTTAAGGATTTGATTTCGATCTCGATCTCGATCCACCTCTCTCCTTCATTCTCATTCTCATTCTCATCCTCATCCTCACTCATACCCACACACCCGCGCACCGCCCCAGGCAAAGTACAACCGCAGCTCGTAGCCCACAACCCGTAAAACCCAAAACACAAAGTCATAATGTCCAACTACTCATACGGCTCGGACCAAGTGTCCCGCGGACAGCACCAGCACGGCACCGCCGGCTCTAGCGGTGGCAGCGGCACCAGTGGCAGTGGAGGCAACTCGCACGGCTCAGTGTTCTACAGCGCATCGACGTCGTATTCGATGTCTAGCTCTACATCGTCCTCGACCGGTGGCAGCAGCAACTCGAACCACGCCCAGCGGTACAGCGAGACCTTGACGAGCAACGACCGCGACGGGACCAACATCCGGCGCGTGGCCGAGGAGACGGGCAGGCCCACAGTCAGCGAGGAGACGTATATCCCGCCGCAGCGGGGGTCCGTGGCCGGGTCTAACTCCTCGACAGGCGGTCGAGGTAGAATCGAGGATGTCACTGATCGTGACGGTGACGGCGACAATGACGACGAACAGGCCGAGAGGGATCGAGAGTACGAGGAGAGGATCGAGGAGGAGTATGCCAAGCGCGAAGGGGGTGCTTGAAGCAAGCCATCGTCCCTCTCCTTCTTCCGTCTCCTTTCCTCTGATTCCTTTTCTCTTGAATCCCCCGGACCAGTGGGATGGAGGTGGCTGGCCTGTTGTCCTTTTTTTTGGGCCTCCGGTGATTACCGTGTAGGGTCCTTGTCTGTATCATCATTGCTGTTATTACTATTGTTGCTGCTACCACCATCGATACCACCACCATGACTGACTCAAGTTCACACCTGTACATATATTCTTGCAAGCAACAAAGGCAAGCCAAGGAAACGCAAGGGAGACGAAGGACCAGGCTTTGACTTTGGACAGCAACAGCACTTGCTGTATGAGGCTAAAGGAAAGGCGAGAGAAAAATGAAGACGACGAGGAAGGAAAGGGTTTCAGTCCACTGCATCCTTGCCTTGCTGTATAGGCATGACCTGCATGATGTTTATGCCTACCCATAAAAAGTGCTCGTTGGCTCACTCACTCTCACCCCCCTCCCTCATTGAACCAAAAAAAAAGCAAATGACATAATCACCTACTCTCTGGAACTACACCAAAGGCCAAAGGAGGATAACAAACTCACCTCACCTCAACGAGACGGGGGGAATAAAGGACAGATTCCGGTAATGGAAG